TTCGTGTGGGTTCTTTGATAAGCTGCTCTAAGCCGTGAGTAATGGCGAAAGCTTCGGCTTGTCGCCCAGCTTCATCCGTTCTGTTAGAGTGTACGAGCCAAGCAGTGTTGTGTACATTGAAATCGCCCATGATGATGATTTCTGCTGCTGGATGGTTCTGTTGAATTTGGTCAAGCTTCAGAGACAAGAATTCGAAGAGCTCTTCATAGGATGGATCATTTGGTGATAAGTAGAGACAACAAAGGAATTTGGTCTGTTTCTGGCTATCGAGTTTGAACCACATGACATCAAACTTATTTGGTTCCAAAGTTTTTTCTCGTTGACATGAGAGATTCGTTTTAGAGTAGAGGCAGAGACCTCCCTTGAATCTGAAACGTGTGTGGAGTTCGTACCCAGGACAGAGCAGATAGGTCGTATTGGTGGATGAATTGACCTGTGTCTCAGTAAGAGCCAATATGTCTGGCTTTTCAATTTGAAGGTGTCGATGGACATCGTTGATGTTCTTACTTAGACCTCGGATGTTACATAGGTCTATCTTGAGGACTTTTTCAGCCGATGGTGAACCCCCTCTAGCACCTCTCGCCCGGAAATCCGAATGGAGAGGTATTTTACTTCCGGATAATTTTACTTGAGGAGAACTCATCATCGCGTATTCTGTATAAAGAAGGGAGGTTGGCGTGGAAGGAAAAGGAAATTGGGTTGGGTTGGGTTGGCCGGAACATCAACCAGCTACTGAAACACGGGTTAGTAAACCCATTTCACAGTGCCTATGGTTGATGTGGTGGTATCGCACCGGGCGATGGCGTTTACCATCTTCCACCTATTGGCGTCCTTTTAGTCGCCTTCTACGACAGGCAGGACTTACCGTGGGGTTATTCTAATCCGACCACCACACGGGACATCTTAGTAGCTGAAAGTTACCGATTTCGAAGATTTCGAAAGTTGTATCAAAAAACTCCAATACAAAAATATTCCTTCCTTCCAAGTTGCTGCATTGGGAGGAGGTGAAGGCATTTAAAAAAAATTAATGCTCTATGAACGAGACTGACAGAAACTATTTCGCTGCATTCCTGAAGGATCTGAGTTGAATTAGTCATCTCGTACTTCTCCATTTCGATAATTCTAAATATACTTACGAAAAAATCTACGTGCCGCAATTTATTTCAACATAATACCATTATTAATACCCATACACGTATACTTATACTTATATAAGCTCATTGTTTCAGAGGCGAATCTGATGACACTTAGAACATTTCAAATGAGTTTCCTCGTATCATTTTATGAAACAAGAATGTATTTTATTGTATATTTGTCAGTTTGAACCTTGTTTAATTACTACATCAGAGATTATACACCTACAATAGAAAATCCTTCTAGGTGGAATCTGATAATGGATTTCGTGGTTCATGTTCCTGAAAAAATGTTTTCTTGAAACCTTCAAATCGAATCAAGATTATGGGATTGTGATTGGAATGATGTAAATTCTTGAGTCTTTCTTTATATACATACAGGCTGTTTCCTAAGTGTTCGGAAATACTTCCAGGAGTGGGTTTTCGTATTATAAATAAGGAACAATTCACCATGAATGTATGTCCGAATAAATCGCTATGTTTTAGCGATACAGGGTGTTGATTGTTGAATGACATTTCCACGATTTTTTTATTGATAAGAGGAACCTTTTGGACTCATTACAGATCTGGGGGCGTATCCCCGTCTGTATCTGATGCTGTCGATGTGTTCAGGAGAGTCGACGACCTTTCACTTGGCTATAGATACTTTCACGGAAAATACTCTTTAAAAATATCGGCTATCATTCCATCACTAAAAATACTAGTCGGACAAACTCGACCGTCTCAGTGAGCATATATTTTTGTCGCCGACCTCGAAATATGTCGAACATTTCTCCACCAGAACTCGTCTGTCCATTTAATGTTGAAGCATTGGAATTCCTTGGAGTACAGCACCCAAACATACCCTGAAACTGTTGGATTCTGTCCAAAAAAGGGCAATTCGTCTCGTGGGTGATGCCTTGCTCACAAACTCACTAACTTCTCTGCAACACCGTAGAAAAGTTGGCGATCTGGCTCTATTTTATAGATATTTTCATGGACGAAGCTCTTTTGAAATATCAACAATTGTTCCTCCCTTGGCAGTCCCCGCGAGATTAACCCGTCGAGTTGAGGCTTCGCACCCCTTTGTGGTCACTTTGGAAACATGCAGAACATCTCTTTCCAAAGACTCGTTCATCTAACGAACAGCGAGGCTCTGGAACACATTTTTCCTTTTCGTGGAAACCAGAACATATAAAAAAAGGGAAGCATACCACAGAACTTACAATACATACTTAAATAGGAAATAAATACCTCGGGAAACAACCTGTATTTTCATTCCGGATGGAAAAAGGATTCTATGGAAATGATCCTCACGTTTTGGCTTTTAAACTATGTGAAAAACGATTTCGCTTTCATGTGAAACGTGTTCACGCTTTAATTCACAGAGATCTTGTGGGGAACTGTATATTTTGCGAGCATCAGCTCATTATAAGATAATTTGAATTCGGGATGAACAAAAACGTTTCGAACACGCACCATCAGATGGGTCGACTTAATGCATTATACGTGCCTATTACGTTCATGTACAGTGTGTTTTCGATGCTGTTGCGTGATATCTCAGTTTCCTTTGGAGATAGAACCTTGCGGTTCTCGGAGTCCTGTGCCACTTTTTTGTGAAACTCAACATGGCCTAATCAGATTTTGCATACCTTTTTCCGTTTATGAGATACAGAGCGTTTTTGGAAATTTATACTTTCTGAACCCTCTCTATATCTACGAAGTTGTTTAGCGAAAATTTCGAATTATAATCTCATCCCATAGAGAATATTACGCGGAATCCAGTGCGCACTCAATTTTTTTTTCGGGTACGGTTTTGCAGATGACCCATGATTTGTTAAATGGAACACCCTTTATTTCATAAGCTCATTGAATTTCTCATTTTTTTTTTTGAAAGAATATATTATGATATATATAGATATAACATTTTCAAAAAATGCTCGAAAATTACTAAAACCACAGTTGAGAGAATATTACATATACTTCTCTCAACTGTGCTAAAACATTGAACTTTAATAGTGGGCTATGGATTTTTTACATAAAAAATGTTCCAATTGGAGGAATATTTTTATCGATTTTTCCATAAAGGGAACAAAAACAATATCGAACTGAATAACTAACAAAACACAAAATGTAGAATAAGCAGCTGATTAAATATTTACTGAAACAATTGAATTTCGAAATTATTCAGTAACTTATTCATTGAATTATTCAAATTGATCTCCATTTTTCCACACACACTTTATTAATACGTCTTCTTGAGAATAAGTTACTGAATGATTTCCAAATCCATTTGTTTTATTAAATATTTAATCAGGTGCTCATTCTAAACAATGCACTTTTTATTTTGTTTGATTGTCTTTATTACCCCAAGAAACATTATTGTTTATAATAGGGATTTATACAACGAAACATACATATAACATAATAAATCGAAACAATAATAATTGCACAATTATTGTTTTTCATAAAAAAAATTATAATAAAATATAAAATGAAAATATTATAATCCATTACAAGTAATCAACTTGTGAATGATTTGTACTATTAGTAGATATGGAATTAATTAAAGTTTACTGAGCAGATATTTCTTTAATTTCATTTTAAATTTTTCTGCTTCTTCTATATTTTTCAACTCATTAGGTAAGGAGTTATACAAAATTATTCCATTATGGAATATTGATTGTTTACCAAAATTTGACTTATAATTATTTGCTATCAATAAATTGAATTGCCTTGTTTCATGGGCGTGAATAGTATTAACTTCATTAAAATTCATATCGATATTTTCAATTCCTTCCTGACAGGAAACTAGATTAAGCAAGTCTTTAGGTTTGTATAGATTCGCAGTTGATTCTGAAAAAGGTGAATTGAAAATGCACTTTATTGTTTTATTTTGTAATTTCATGAGTGGCTTCAAACGTGAAATATTTGTACTTTCCCAAATAGATATTTGATATTGTATCTTTGAATAAAAAAGACAGAAATAAATACTCTTTAGGTATTTAACTGGAATGAAATTTCGAATTTTATATATAATACCAGCAAAAGGATTTTTTCCTCAATTGATCTATATGTAGGGTCCACGATAGCTGTTAATCTATATATAGAGCTAAAAATTTTGTTACATTTGTATATTCAATGGATTTGTTATTGAAACATATTGGGGTATTATTCAATATATCCGTTGTTCTTTTCGAGATCTACATATGCGTAGATTTACTTACTATAATTAAGAGTCAACTTATTGGTCGTTAGCCAAGATGATATTTGTTTCAAATCATTTTTAATATCATTATTGATATCGTTGAAATCTTTTGAGTATAGATTATTGTTGTATCATCTGCGAATAATTTTAGTTTTCATTTCAATTTTAAAGTAGATATTGAGTTTTGTGTGTGTTGTTAGTTAATCAGTAATGGAATTGTTTTTGTCCTCTATATGAAATATCATATAGGAGATATTCCTTCAATTGGAACTTTTTTACATGAAAAATCCATCCAATCTGTTTAAAATTCAATGTGATTTTTGAGCATTTTTGAAGTTCTTATATTCAAACAATATATATCATTTTGAAACAAAAAAAAATATAGGATATCAATGAGCTGATAAAATACAGGGTGTTCCATTCAAAAAATCATGAGTTTGAGTCGTATCTCCAAAACCATACCCCGAAAAAAAAATTGAGTGCGCCACTCGATTCTGCGTAAAATTCTCTATGGGCTAAGATTTTAATTTGACATTCTCGCTCAGAAACTTCGTAGATACCTACCTATGTAAAGTAGGAAGTTTCGAAACTTCAGAAAGTTTTCATGAATTCCTAGAAGAATATAGCAGCTCGAATGGAAAAGTCAACAACCTAATTCCTCAATTTTCTCTTTGTTACAGACAGACTTGGAATATGTTCTACAGATTGCCAAAGACATAGAAATGAAGTGAGTACCGACCCATGAATAAAGCATTTACCAGATAAGATATACAGGGTGTTTCACTTTTTGTAACAGGACTTTAACAGCTTGAAGAAGACATTTTTTCAAGATGAAAATCTCATACAAACATATATGCGTGGGAGCTTCGTTTCCGATTCACAGGGTGTCAACGTTTCAGATTGTTTTCATGTTTTTTGAATCTTCTCCTACAATTTTCGGAATGATTGATTGAAATTTGGTACACCTAATACACTTAAAAATTCAATATTTTAGGCTACTGAGCATTTTTGAATACCTACAGGGTGATAGACTTTCAGGGGGCGTGCCCAATTTAACCCTGTAGAACTTTTTTGCGTGCCGTCTGTTCTTTCATTGGGACATAGATTCAGATTGTCCTTTCAATTTGGAAACTTTTTGTCCCCATGTAAATTTTTCGAAAACTGTAAGGATCTCTAGATGAATGACAAAAATAAATTACTTGTAATAAAACCGTTATTTCTCGAACACACTTTTTTGACATTTCTCAAACATTTTATTGGAAAATAGAATGACCGAAAGCTTCCATACCGAATGAAATTCAGTTGCAAAATTAAATTGATTTTTCTGAACACCATTATAATTAAAACTAGAAAAATCAAAACTTAAAAAAAATCTGAAACTTTGACACCCTGTAAATCGGAAACGAAGCTTCCACGCATATATGTTTGTATGAGATTTTCATCTTAAAAAAATGTCTTCTTCAAGCTGTTAAAGCCCTGCTACAAAAAACTGAAACACCCTGTATATTTTCTGGTATGAGAGATCATTAGTAGTAGATGTAGCACATGTTTTGAGTTGGTATGTGCTTAATTGTTCGATATCGAAGAGATGAATTTATCACTCTGAATTCACTGTTATTTTCAGAATTATCGGTATGAAGGTATTAGGTATAAAATAATGATAATTTAGCTGTTTTTGCGTCCCGCGTATTTACCCCATTCTTCCCTAACACCTTGTACATGACGATCAAATTTTGGTTTTATCGCTTTCAAGCTTTCATATCGAACATTTGTCATATGGAAAAAACTTTTAATGATAATTTATTTCGAATTTCGACTTGGGCGTTAAGTTTTGCCAGCGTAGCCTCGTGGTTGAAGCGTCAATGTTCTATTCACGTTGGATTGCCGGTAGTTGGGTTTGGTCGTAATGGGGCAATCGAATGATGGATGAAAACAATTTCAGAACAAATTTTTTGTAGAAAATATAAAAAATGTACTACTTGTTCGTGGTCACTTGACTTTCGCTACATGTCAATAGTAAAATTTTTTCAAATTATTCGCTGAAAATAGGATTATTTGTTCAAATTTCAAGCTTCTTTGACCATAAATAGGAAGAAAAGTTCCAATGAACATGAGTCGAGAAATGTCTCCTAAGGAAGCTATGGCCCCCTAAAAGGGGGCTCCTGAAGATGATATTTCTTGAATATTCCCGAAACGCCACGTGACGTGATAAAATGATGCAATTTGGTACAAGAACTGAACTTTCCATGCCCAATGCGGTGAACATAAAATCATTTTAGAGTTTCATTCAGGAGTGTTAAATACAAGGTGGGACTACATTAAATATTGCTCTAACTTTTTCGTATGCATATTTTGAATTGTAGTTCATTGTACCAGTATATCACCTGACGAGGCTACTGTGTTGGCGAAACATGTCGTGTGTTTAATAAGTTTTGTGGAGGTCTCATCGTTTGTGAAGTTTTTGCATGTATGCATATTTTTTGACAATTTAGTCTCGGATTATAAAATTCCACACCATTTCACAAAAATAAGTGCTCTTGTTCCGCATTGATCAGATGTATCATTTTCGAGTGAAATCGATTTAAAAATATTGATGCAATCACATCTTATGCATAACGTTGCCAATTTTCAAATCATAGTGTCTATAGAAAAATCAAGTACTTTCTTCTTACCAAACAATATCAAAAAAGCGCAAAAAATAGGAAAATGATGATGAAAAAACTACTTCAATTTTTGTGCATTTTTTTCCATTTCCACTATGCCTCATTGCAATGGTATGTATAATATCTGAGATGTAACAATATTCTTAAATTGCTTCAACTCGATAACAATACATCTTCTGATCGTCACGGAACAAGAGTACCTTTTTTTCTGTAAAGAGGTGTGAAATTTCATAATCCGAGATTAAATTGTCGAACAATATGCAAACAAAAAATTTGGAGCAATATTTAATATAGTCCCACCCTGTATTATACACTCCTGATTGAAATTTTGAAATGATTTTATTTACACCGCATTGGGCATAGAAATTTCAGTTTTTGAACCAAACGGCATTTTGTTATTACATATGGAGTTTCGGAAATACTCAAGAAATATCATTTTCAAGGGCCCCCTTTCGGTGAGCCATATAGCTCCCTTAGGTGACATTTCTCGTCCCATGTTCATTGACAGTTTTCTATCTATTTTTAATAGTAAAAGCCGCTGGTGAAGTTTGGCAGGCTAATTTCGGGACACTCTGTATATGAGTGTAAAGATTTTGAAAATGAAGATATACTATTGTATGTATAAGTACACAGAATACCATTCTGTGGCTGTGAGCTTAGACGAAATTTACAAATTTCGTCTTACATAAGACGAAATTTCGAGTTAGTAAGACAAAATTTCGACTTGGTAAGACGAAATTTCGACTTAGTAAGTCAAAAATTCGACTTAATAAGACGAAATTTCGAGTTACTAAGACGGAATTTCGACTTTATAAGTCGAAATTTCGACTTCCTAAGTCGAAATTTCGACTTTTTATTTTTTCCACTGGCACTCCTGAGCTTTCGTAGGAATTTGTTCGTTTCATAACAATTATTAATTTTTTATATTTCTACAAAATGTCTGTAATATAAACAGTGGCGGATAATAGGGAAAGCGCAATGCCCCTTTCCTGACTTTCTACAAAAAGATTATTCTACTCACATTCTTCCTGTAACCACATTATATGAATCAGTATTGTATCAGTACTTGAAATTGCAAAAAATTCACCTATATTATTTCAAAATACATAAAATATTCCTGCATATAAGGAAGCCATTTTTCGAAAATGTGAAAATTATGATGAATAACTTGTTTCCTGTTATGAGTGGTGGTTGTTGATTCGGATACGATAAAAAAATGGGAGTGAATCAGGGAATTATTTTGGTAAATTGAACAAATGAGTCAGCATCCCTTGCTCCCAACACATTTTGCATGGAAACAATGTGATGCAGTTGTTGTCAAACTTGAAGAAATCTAATTTTCAATTAGAAGGCATTTGACCTTGAATCCCAACAAACTTTTCGTCTGCGGCGCCTTTTTACCGTACAAAATTTCAGTCTGAGTGTCTAGCCCTCCTTGATGTCACTCTGGAATAAATCTAATTTTCAATTTGAGCGCATTTGACCTCAGGAAGATTTCGCCTGCGGCGCTTTCAAGAACCAAGCAGTTTGTCTGGGTTTCTTGACCCCCCACCTGGGCTACACTGAAATGACGTTTCTGAAATTGTCCTTGGTCTCTATCAAGAATAGTCCAGTCATTATATCCAAATAACGGACCTTACCCGTGAATAATTTTTTAGTGGTTTTTTTTTCGATGTCTCGGGGGGGTCACTGGGAGTGTAAATTCAAAATGGCGACCAAATCAAGCTTTTGCGTATGTTCGAAAACTGTTTTTTTTGTTAAAAAACGGTTTTTCTTGAATAACTCGGCCATTCTTGATTCTACAGAAAAAGTTTGTTGACAAAAATTGTAGTAAATTTAGTTCTCTACAAGTTCGGTCCCCACAATTTTTCTGATAGGATCGATATTTTGTAAATTAAACCTGAAAAAAGCGACAAATTCGAAATATTTTCATTATCTCGTTTATTTTCAACTTTACGGCATAAATGAAGAGAAACAAACTTGTAGAGAATCAAATTTTGGACAAATTTTGTCTCCACCTGTTCTTCCGAAAATCGATATTTTCGGAATTAAAACCTAAAAAAAACGACTCATTCGAAATATCATCATTATCTCGTTTATTCTCAACTTTACACCATAAATGAGAAGAAACAAACTTGTAGAGAATCAAATTTTGGACAAATTTGGCAAAAAAAATGGTTCCGGAACCATTTTTTCACACCGACATGACAGACAAGCTACCTGCGCGGAATAACCTCTTTATTTATGCCGTAAAATGCGAAGCATTGGAGATGATGATAATCTTTTGAATTTGTCGCGTTTTTCAGGTTTAATTCCCAAAATATCGATTTTTGGAACAAAAACGTAGTAACCAAAATTGTTCAGAATTTGATTCTCCACAAGTTTAGTCCTCTTCATTTATGCCGTAAAGTTGAAAATAAACGAGATGATGGAAATATTTCGAATTTGTCGCTTTTTTCAGGTTTAATTTACAAAATACCGATCCTATCAGAAAAATTGTGGGGATCAAACTTGTAGAAAACCAAATTTACTACAATTTTTGTCCTCAAACTTTTTCTGTAGAATCAAAAATGGCCGAGTTATTCAAGAAAAACCGTTTTTTAACAAAAAAAACATACGCAGAAGCTTGATTTGGTCGCTATTTTGAATTTACACTCCCAGTGACCCCCCGAGACACCTATGAAAAAAAAAACACTAAAAAATTATTCACGGGTCAAAGTCTATAATGACTGGACTAGAAGGGGGCGCTGAAATAAATTGCGCCTCAGTCTGCAAAACTCGGCAAAACGTCTTAATCCACCACTGAATATTGAAAAAAAAATCAACACCGTCAAAACTATTCGATTCTAGTAGCTTTATCTTGCTACGAACTCTCAATCACTAATTATCAACAGAAATATCGACGTTCAAATTCATGACAAATATGTGAAATTGGGATAGAAACAACTTTTCTCAGTAAACTATTTTTAAATTTGAACAAATGAGCCTATTTTGAGCAATTGATTCGAAAAAAATGCGACTTTTGACATGTATCGAAAGTCAAGTGACTCCGACAGAGTATACAGTGTGTCCCACTTACCATGCTCACCATGGGTATCTTTTTAACGGTGAGAGATACGAGGTCGGTTGAATGACACCAAATGTGGTGTTTGTCAAGGCCAACTATAATGTGAAAAAATATTTTGATGAAATCTATTCGTTTTTGTTTTATACGCAAAAAACAGATTTTGATCATTTTCTTGTCTCCTCCGTAACTTCTTTATTTATGGAAATATTCAAATAAGAATTTCACATTCTCATGGCGGTTTTTCAAAGTGATTTCGAAAACAATATGAAATTCATACCAACTCTTCTAGAATTTGAGATATCAGCACCACCTTTAGTTTTTCAAATGTAGGTCATAGCTCACTATGACTTAGTCACAAATAACTTTTTTTTTCTCTTACAGATGATATGTCGCAGTAATAGTTTTGTGTTGATAACAACGGAGTTATCGTCATTTATACAAAAACAAAAAATTATTTGGAAGCCGCCATCTTGAATTTATAAATTTTAACAAAAAAATCATGATCTCCGACCTCAAAAACCCCCACTTATCAATTATGAATGGAATCGGACCAAATCTTGCCCGCCATCTTGGAGCAGCCATTTTTTTAAATTTCAACAAAAATTCCATAATGTATTGTGGACAAGATTTGGTCCGATTCCATTCAAAATTGATAAGTGGGGGTTTTTGAGGTCGGAGATCATGATTTTTTTGTTAAAATTTATAAATTCAAGATGGCGGCTTCCAAATAAATTTTTGTTTTTGTATAAATGACGATAGCTCCGTTGTTATCAACAAAAAACTATTGCTTTTGGGTGTATGATAAATTGACATTCATCATACAGGGCGTGGAAAGAAATTCTGAATTGAGACTCTATCACGAATCTGCGATTAGAGGTCTATAAAAATCACAAGTTTCCATCGTTCAAGTTTGAACCCCCTGATTGGGTATGAAAGTGTTGAAAAGGAATATTATCTGAGAATATTCCTTTTCAACACTTTCATACCCAATCGGTTCTACTTGAACGATGGAAACTTGTGATTTTTACGTGTGTGTTCAATAGATATGATTCAATGTTCGTCGTGGCATATAGCCAGGAAAGTAGTTGTTTTCTATTGAATAAACTGAAAAAGAGTAGATATTTCCATCACATAAAGAATGCAAATTCTCAATGTATTGCTTCATATTAATATATATATCCATTTTTGTATGTCCATAATTTCTTTATCTGAGAATATTCCTTTTCAACAAAACTATTACTGCGACGTTAACTTTTTTTTTGAGAGAAAAAAAAGTTATTTGTAACTAAGTCATAGTGAGCTATGACCTACATTTGAAAAACTAAAGTTGGTGCTGATATCTCAAATTCTAGAAGAGTTGGTATAAATTTCATATTTTTTTCGAAATCACTTTGAAAAACTGCCATGAGAATGTGAAATTCCTATTTGAATATTTTCATAAATAAAGGAGTTACGGAGGAGACAAGAAAATGATCAAAATCTGTTTTTTGCGTATAAAACAAAAACGACTAGATTTCATCAGAATATTTTTTCACATTATAGTTGGCCTTGGCAAACTCCACATTTGGTGTCATTTAACCGACCTCGTATCTATCACCGTTAAAAAGATACCCACGGTGAGCATGGTAAGTGGGACACACTGTATATAGGCCATTCTTCATCATTTTCGAAGCAAACTTTTACGTACAAGCCGAATTTCGAAATAATTCATCATTCATGAATGACACTGTATAAGGGGTATGCATGAATATAATGTCATAAAATTTCGATAGATACACAGTTTGAGAACCATTGCATAAAATTACGCCTCGGACAAAATCTTTTTTGTGAAGTTATTTATTTTTTTGAGTATGTTCTCGGATTACTCTGTACAATGGAAATCATTTGAGATTTCAGGTTCCCGATTCAAGTGGACTCTGGATTGATCGAAGTGATTTCACCTTCTCCTGGATATTACCCGAACATGAACAAGCTCTACATCACACTGGGGGATTCGCTAGAACGCGTTCAATGGCGTTCGAAGCAGAATTTGGATTTTGCCTTCCTGATGTCGTATTGTCAACCAAAAGGTGAGCTAGATAAAATTTTTCAAAGATATAGATAAAACAATGTCATATGTTATTGACAATTGTGTGTAACTCAGTCACCAATTTCATTAATATAATTCAATAATATAAAACTTTGAATTATGTTTTTATGACCAAAGTCATTAGCAGTGGCGTAACTTCAAATTTTAGCCACCCCCCGACATAAACATTTAGGGTCACCAAGAAAAAAAATGGATTATATTATACGAATTAGCTATACAAATATCCATTTCTTATGTTGAAAACGGGAACAGTTTCGTTCCCGAAACGTCCAGAGCTAATTGAAAATTCGATATTTTTTCTATATACCATTATTTCTCGTCTCAAAACCTTCTTCACTACAAATTGTCACTGACAAGATAGTGAATTTTTCTTCTAGGCTCTCTGATAGAAAAGTTCTTCAAACGCATCAATGACATTTTGGGGCAAATCTTCTGATTTATCATTTTTGAGAAATTTCTAACATCGGTGCAAAAGAAAAACGTGGATAAAAAGAATATGTAAGTAGTTACAGATCAAAAAATAAAAAAGAAATGTGTGTCAACCCCAGGCAATTCTCTTTTTTGCACTTTTTTCTGCCGTTTTTTGCACCAGGATTGAAGTTTGTACTTGAGTCCCTCCAAACAGGGACTAAGAGACATATTTTATCGCTAGAGACTGAATGGAAATAATGAAATATCCAACTGATATACTTGGTCAGATTTGAATTGTAACATTGACAGTTCATCATATTTCTAGTGTGAATTTTCTCGAAAGTATTACAACTAGTATATGCAACATATTTCACTTTGAGTGGCAAAAATTTAATATATCATGAAGGGTTTGCAGAATTTCGAAAATTGCCTTGCCCATCAGGTGAAATTTGAATTTCATTGTGGAGATGATTTAGTTTTCTATTCTCGATGAGAATACAACTATGCTTGACTAACTACGTACTACTAACTGATCCTCACTATAAGCATAATAGCTGAGTGTTTTGAGTTTTGTGAACTATAAAAAAATAATAATTCCAGGTACATTTTACGTTCAACTGGAAGATGATATTCTTGCCAAACCATCGTATGTGAATTTGATGAAGAAGTTTGCAATCGACAAGATCGCCAAGAAGGAACCATGGCTCGTGTTAGACTTTTGTCAGCTTGGTTTCATAGGTGAGTTTGCCTGTTCGCATAAAGATTATTCGAACCAATCAATCGATTGATATACGCGGGTGTACCATGACGATTAAGACAGGAAATATCTCGGAACTCGAGGGTAGTAGAAAATTGTAATTGTGGAGTTGCGAATTTAAGCGATTGTTGCAGCTTTTTCGGATATTTTTTCACCCAATGAACTTATTGATTTCGGTCACGTGACATCAGATTCAAAATTATAAATGGAACAACCTGTTTATTTTGGCATTCCTTTGTTCCTCCCGATGGAACGAGTCCAACAAACTATCACACTTGTGGTCTAAAACGATTAATTCAGGAACTACAGGTACCTACTTACTTCAATATAGAGGATGTGTCATAATATACGCGCAGGACTTCAGGAACTGATAGCTTGTCGAAAAATATGGAGAAAAGTTTCTATTAACTTACCCTCTAGAATGCACTATATTCGAATATCTCTGGAACCGTTTATCGCAGAGAACAGCTTGTGTAAGCATTTTTTACTCATGATAAGCTATGTTTTGTGGGGGACTTTTTCTATTTCAAGGTCATAATTGGTGAAGGTTTTGAAGGGTTAGTGGATGTTTCTCTCCACAACTTCAACGCCACTGGAAAACGTATTGTTTCGAGCCGCCTATTCGAACGGCCAATGTTTTCTACACAAAAAAGATACTCAAGGTCATGAGCTCTATAGTTGACCGTTTTTGAGAAAAATCAACTTTCATTTTGAAAATCATGGTACATTTTTGGGAACAAACTATTTTCACCAATTAAACTAAATCTATTGTAACAAAACCAAAGGTTAACTTCATATTACAAAATTGAACAAAAAAAGAGAACAATAGCAAATCATATACTCAGTTAAATTAATGATTGTTGGAATTGTCGCGGTTAGCTTCAATGCACGCAGCAATTTTTGAAAAAAATTACCATGATTTTCAACATAAAAATTGATTTTTCTCGAAAACGGTCAAATATTGAGCCATCGACCAAGTATACATTTTTTGTGTAGGAAATATTGGCAGTTCAAATGGGTTGCTCAAAACTGTACTTTTTCCAGTGGCGTAGAAGTTGGGGAGGAAAACACTCACTACCCCTTCAAAATCTTCAACAATTATGACCTAAAAAAAAAACATTCACCACCAAACATAGCTCATTATGAGTAAAAAATGCTTACGGAAGCTGATTTTTGTGCGATGAACGGTTCCAGAAATATTCGCAAAAAACGATTTTTTGTTTCAAATTTCAACACCCTGTATCCCAAGAATAGTGCATTTGAGAGGGTGAGTTTAAGGAACATTTTTCCCATATTTTTGAACGAACTATCACATCCTGAGGTCCTGCGCATATATTATGAAACACCCTTTATTATGTCCCACGACGATAACGACAAACGTCTGAAACCAGCAATTGCCAAATTATCGAAGTTTTCGGTCACCTTGTATATTTGGGCAGTCCCGAGGGGAGTCCTGAATCTTTTGTGATGATTAAAAATATTATCATCCATATTTTATTGAAAAACTTAGTGGAATAACTTTGGGACACAGGGAATTGAAGTAGGTACCTGTAGTTCTCTCTCTTTTTAGACCACAATTATTGAGATAGGAATCGCGATAGGAATCGAAATATTGTGGAAATCCCATGGTTTGTGCAGTTTTTACATTTGCTATGGATTTCTATTAAGGAACGGCCGAGAACATTGAAAAAAAGAACTCGGAAGTGCCAAAATGTGCAGGTGGCTCCATTTAAATTGAAGATTTATGATTAAAGTAAGTAGGTACATACCTGTAGTTCTTGAATTAATCGTTTTAGACCACGAATGTGATAGTTTGTTGGAATCGTTCCATCGGGAGGAACAAAGGAATGCCAAAATATGCAGGTTGTTTCATTTACAATTTTGAATCAGATGTCACGTGACCGAAATCAAAAAGCACATTGGGTAACACAATATCTAAAATGCACCAATTGCTTCAATTCACAACCCTAAAATTACAATTTTCTACTACTCTGGAGTAATCATAATACATCATATTATTTATCAGATTTGAGAGATTGTCAATTCTCAATTTCGGATGTTCAACAGATATTGTTCAATGTTCGACGTGGCAAATTGCCAGGAAAGTAGTTGTTTTCTGTTGAATGTTCAGAATGATGTTATATGCATATACATATTCTTATCTGAAGGAGAATGCAAATTCTGAACTTTAGAAGATTTTGTGTTCGAATTCTTATGGTATGTGTTCAATAGATATAATTTAATGTCAGCCGTGGCATATAGCCAGGAAATTAGACGTTTTCTGTTGAGTGAACCGGGAAAGAATTGATATTTTTTTTACATGGGGAATGCGTATTATCAATGTATTATTTGAATATATATCCATTTTTATCTGAGAATATTCCTTCTCAATGTTTATCTTCAATTTTATTGTATATGTTCGATTTGTTTATTCATCTATTTTTCTTGTGTCCCTCCATAAGCATGTATGTTTCTTGGGATCAATACATGTTTTTATTATTATCATTAACTACCCATATGCGAAAACTTTGATGTTCGATGTTTTAAACTTCTTCACCTAGGCTACAAGCACCGTATACAGAGAGAAAAATTTCTTGTTGATTTCACAATGTTATTATTCTTGTTTACATCAATATTTATTGATCTTGAATTTCGATTTTATTTGTGTGAAATTGTTTTTGTTGTGAATTTTCTTTTCGAAATATCGAATACTCCCATATGCATAGGTATTTCTATTTCCTTAGTGTCACTGACCGTAGTAATCACTTATATATTATGACATTGAAATTAACTTTCGTGCCAGCCACAGAAGATTGCTACGTTCAATTTCACGCAGTCCTCAGTTCTAAAATAATTATGTCGTAATTAGATTTGAATTTGTCCAGCAGTTAGAGAACAAGCTTTTTCGCCACGACTCAAGACTCAAGACCCATCAATTTTCTAGATTGTGAGCATAACTTCGTCACGACGTTGATCTAACAAAACCTTTTCGATTTTTGCGATACAATAAAACGCAAATACATGCATTTTTCACAGCCGATTTACTAAGTAGCAATTGACAGCAGAAAATTTCACACGCCAGAAGCAATTGATATTTGATAATCCCAAACAAATTCGGTGAATAAATTATTGCTACGACTATAGTAGATTAGATTGGTCGAAAATAGATATGTTAAACTATAATTAACTTTTCTGTAGAACTTTCATTTAACTAAAGTGGATAACTAAGATATTAGGTCTCCTGGAAATAATAGAGAACTTAAAATTATAGGCACCTTTTTCATTATTTTCTACCAACTTTAGTTGAATAAATTTGTGAAAAACTGAAAGATTGATTTACTACTGACTTATTTTTCTTCAATTCATTCAACTAAAGTCGTTCAAATATATTTTATTCAACCTAATAATATTATGCGCGCAAATTTCATGGATATACTGAATAGTACTTTGGGTTCCTTGCAGGAAGATATATTTCTACCAAGTTTAGTGAACTGAATATGTGAAAAATTTCAAAAGTCAACTACTATCGATTCATTTCTCATTATTTTGTGTAAGTAAAGTAGATTAACTGGGTTTTATTTAACCTAACAATGTTATGAATGTGCATTTTATCAATAATACTAATACATTCTCATATAAACACTATGATATATTATACCTACTCTTCAGTTTTGACATGAAGAATGACATACGCAAATAAAAAAAATATGTTATTCTTTTGAGTTAACATACAAAGCCTACTATTCAAATGTCAAAACCATCGAAAATCGTCATTATAAAAGTTATTTTTTAATAATATTTCAGTGTGAAATTTTCTTACCGAATACCACTTTAGCTTCAATTAATATCCGGGAATTTTTTCTCGAACACGAATATTTAGATTTAGATTTAGAAATAGATTTCCGGAAATGATTGAAGCTCTCGTGATATCATAAGTGAAAATTGCACCAATTGTTCATTCACTTTCAACATTGAGGGTAAAAATACAGTTTGAGTTAAATTGTTCGTAACGTATTAGTTCCTGTTTCAATGCAAATCGATATTAATAATAAAGTATTCAAGTTGCGTTTTCCATTTTCCTACAACTAGTGCCGCAGCTCAATAAATCATTTTTTCTACAGAAGTCAAAAAATGACAAGGTTCGCGCATTGATAACAAATTGCGAAGTGAAACTTTTTTTAAGTTTCCTACGATACCATGATACCTTGCACAAAACAATGCGCGAAGTAAAACAGTGCGCGAAGTACCTACTTCGCACATTGTTATGAAAAATATATGAGATATTTATATTTCAACTATATGGTCCTCAATCGAGCGAACATCTACGAAATCATTCATTTCTGAATGTTCAACAATTACTTTGTTTTATCTCTTGGAGCGCAAGAATGGAAATTCCTATTATGTTCGTGGAACATCGTGCGTATACCTAGAGAGGATAGGGGGAGGACTTTTAAGCCATTCCAAAACTATTTTTTTCATCAAGCTAAGCATATTTTTACTTTAGAACTATGTTTTTTGACGTTGTAGAAAAAATTTTGTTTGCAACTCGAGCGCGAAATACTTTGGTGATCTCCACTATTTTTTCAACTCGGCTACGCCTCGTTAAAAAAATCAGATCTCGATCACCAAAGTTGCATTTCGCGCTCTAGATACAAAAATAACTATTTTGCTTTTTGCATGAACGTAGAAAAAACTCGAGAAAAAAGGTTGTATGCAACTCGTTCAAAAATTGTTTATTGCACTCGACGTGAAACTGTCCGACGAGGCCGTTTCACTTTTTGCACTTGTTGCATAAATAACTATTTTCACTTAAACATGCCCATTGCTTATTTTTCAACGTTTCGCACACATTGTCATCATAGTTAACGTTACAGATTAACAAACCTTATAACGTCTTGGAACAATGAATTCTTCCTAGCAAATAATGGAGAGAAAAATAAATGTTGACTTGTTTGAGCGAGACTTTCTACACATCCTGTATATTTCTTGGAATTCATACCACAGACATTCCATCACGAGCTCATTGTATAGGTATTTATAAGTAATAAAAATAAGGAATGTTTCTTGGAATATTAACCGCATCAATGATCGGATCTAATAAGCAATTTCTCGCTCATAAACTTCGGAGTTATTGTCATATACAAAGGGAATTATCAGTTGGTTAGGTCAGGATTATAATATAATAATTATCAACAAATTATATTTCTGATTAAAATGGTAAACAAAAATGATTAATTTAGGTCAGGTCAACAAAAGATACATATTATGAAATGATCACGGATTATCATCGAATTCAATGTCACTAGGATATGAATTCGACCGTTACTAAGGAAACTGAACTATTTCGTAGGTGGATATTGTATTTGAAAATGAGTCATTCAAGCAGATACATTATCTCAAAAAACTAGAATTCACAACTTAGAGATTCAGGATGGATATGGTTGCCCCAATTGTGAGCAAAAGGAAACAGTTTACTGTTTCGATTCACCAGACCTCATCAGTCGCCCTCGGTCTGCTGACAATGGGGTTGTACACACTAGTCGAATTAACGACACATGATCGTTCCATGTATTTATGGTATCAGATACAGTCATTCATTATTTGAAATCATCACAAATATCTTCCATCTACAAACGTCAATCTCGTCACCTGCAAAAATCCAAGGAATTATTTACTTCTGAATCTTTAACAATGATAAAGGATATTCAAGCCATGCAGTTTCACACTATTTTTCATATTAGGCTCATACCTCCCAGTTAACACAAACATCTATGAGATGTCGCATTCATGGCAGTTGATGTCACAAAAGCGAATCACATATTGCATCGCTGATATCTACAAGGAATTCCTTGTGTGACAGATAGTTCGCAAATTTCATCACATTCTGTTGGATCTGAGACCAATATGGATATAATATTTATGAGGCCCCTTAACTTCACAACGACTATAATTTCAGAATCTGAAATTTCAGTCGTTGAGAGTCATAATTTGATGTATCTGAATTGACAAACTGATTCACATTGTGCAGAATGAAGAAACGAAAATATGCTTCAATATGTGAATCTCTCTCACATCTCAAGGAAATTCATTTATGAAAGTAATATCGAACAATACTTGGAAATATCAGTGTACTCGCATACTCATGAATGTAGCGCACAATGTGACTTATGTAAAGTTTCGTACACACTCGGTCAGTGTCGGTCTGACTGATGTACACGTGTATGTGAATTCTTTAGCGACGGCATGCTTTTGTCTCGTCCATTTCGTTGTTTCAGTGCATTAGTTCATTCGGTGTTGGTATGCAGTTCGTGTTTGGCGTTATTGCTTAGACTGAATAAGCATCTCTTTCTAATCGAAAATCATGATTGTGATTAAAGATACTGTGTGTTTCTCATCTAAGTTACAGGGTAAGTAACTACAACGTTCATAACTTGATACAATACCTAATATACCTATATACTGGTTGACAATGAAGACAGGGTAGACGACACCACGTCGCCATTTCAAGACTATATGATGATACTTACAATGATACCTTGGAATATATCATTTTGGGATCAGGGTATAAGTGAACATGCATATTCTGATTGTATATTGGGAAAGTCTGATTAAGAACAAAATTATTGCAAAACATTATGAATGGAAGGAAAAAATGCGCCGCAGCTATTCTCTATCTTCTTTGTCACCCGGTATAGAACAGTAGGTATGCAGTGTGATTTCATCTTCTCATAAATAATTTCAATCTTACACGACTCCACGTAGATATGAGAGTGACTTGAACATTTTTCAATACTCATTATGGTTCTCTACTCACTCTCATCTATAAGATATTCTGAACAGGAAATGGGCAAAATGAAATCAATTGATTGTTTCTATATTCATTTTCAGATGTCAAATCACAAAAGTCATCTGGACAACCTTGGAACAATTTGAAATTCTGAGCAGGGATTGGTTACCATGCTACCACGGAAGGAGAGATGAGGAGCAAATATTGGATTCTCTTGTGTTACTTTCAGTTCTCCATATTCATCGCGTTAACTCATGGAGATATATACCCTGTATAATTATTCGAAAAAGTCTAGGCCTGCGCTGTTTTTCTAATTTCAATCATTGTTATATCTAGGTAGTTTTGCTCAACATAACATGTACGTACTTACCTATTCTGATGTGTAATGAGACTAATTTTCAATAAAATCGAGTTGCCTTGTGAAACCCTTGATTGATCTATTTGACAGAGATTCGAGACCGATTAGTTCTCTCATTGAATACCTTCATCAATCTAGATGTGATTTCACTTGAGACATCAAAAATCAATGTGTATGTAGCATTTCTGAGACGCACAATATGATTCTTCCAGGGACGCTACGATACCAGTATAATAATCGAAAAGAACCTCACATTCAGAAATGGTCGATGGTCTTCTGAACCTCACATTCTGATCATAATGTGACCTCAATGTGAGTCTTATTTCAACGTGATATCTGGAGTCACATTCAGCTAACTTTTGAGTCCCATTCGGCATCTAAATGTGAAGCGAAAAATGACCAAAAGGGTCCGGAATAGAGGATCTGGAGATGTCGACGTGATTCACAAATCGAATCGCGGGTGTGATCTCAATCATGAATGTGAAGTGTACTGACATCTCTGAGATCAATTTGTGTTAACTGGGGCTAGCATATTTATTTTTTCAGAACAATATTTTTTAAAGGTTGTAGGAAAAGCATTATTTGAGAGAATTTTTTTTTTCTGAACAGCGTAGAATAATGTGTTTTTTTTTATGTGAACTTCGAACCGTTCTCACGGACAAACGGTACATTTTGGCACATAAATAAATTGGGTCCAATCAACTTATTTCGACCTCATCTACACGTGGTAGCTCTGTGTCCTAGCAATTTTGGGACACCCTGTATATACTAATGGTCGACTATGAAACATATCTAATATTTTTCCAGGAAAGATGTTCAAAAGTGCAGAGTTACCATGGCTGATCCAATTTTTCCAAATGTTCTACAACGATAAACCTGTAGATTGGCTGTTAGATTATTTGATTTCGACGAAGATATGCAACTGGGAGAAAAACGTGAGTTCTGTTCTTAATTTTTTGTATGTTCAAATTCAGAGACTATGATAAACTAATACTAGAAAAAAAAAAACCTAAATTTAGTAATCTGGCCACTAATATACGAAATACCGACCCCTTTTCAATTAAATAACACACGGCACGGTTCAGACTAATGTTCATCTCTGCAAAACAAATTCGAGTCTCAATCTGTTCAGAATCGCATGATTATATAGGGTGTATCTAAATAACACCGAAAAAATTCAAAGGGCGTGTCCTTGTGACATTCTAGCAAATAGTTCATATGAACATGTGTCTCAACTTGCTCCGTTTTTGAAATACATGATGTTGAAGTTGGAAGTATTAATTGTTTTTATTCATGACCCCCCTGCATAAGCTTTCATGGTGCCAAAATTCAGTATGGATGGAGACTGAGAAAGCCCCAGAATTTCAAAATGATTCTAATTGGGGTTATTCAGTAATCTCATGTCTTGAAAACACCTGCATTAAAATTTGGAGTCAAATCGAATTTGAATTTGAATTGATACAAAATTCACACAGGGGATAAAAAAGTTGTGATTTCAATAGTTCAATCTAATGAAAATATGAAAATGTGACGCCACTGGAAATATTATTTCGAATCAAATTGCACTAGAGGAAGCTCCATATTACTACTAACAAAACCACAACGTTTTATTGGAATTGATGAAAAGACAATTGAGAAATAAATAGAAAAAACATTTTTCATGGAAATATTAATACCCTGTATCTCGAAAACGAAGCAAGTAAAGGGGGGTAAAGGCTTATAGTTAATGAAAAAAAAATCATGTTGCAGAAGGCCATCAATAACATAATATGTATATTATACAGGGCTTACGTAAAGTACTGAATAAATTTGTTTCAATTTGCCACATCCACAGGACAAAGTTGAATATACAGGGTGAATCACGTGTGAGTAATCATGTCCGAGACAATATCAAACGGAACACCCTATATTATTCAATTTTGGGGATCTCCATGGAGAGCTGAACTCAAACATATATCACACAATATGGTTTTTGTACAATGCGTCCGTTAAATTCAAAGCTCCTGTGTACAAATGAAAATGAATCTCGATGACATCGAGCGTTTTTCCAAAATTCAGTCGTTTAACCTTTTAATGGATGCACTGTATACACATCATGTGCGTCAGTGTGTCATGTATTTTTGAATTCAGCTTTCCATGGAGATTCCATATATTCAATAATTGTCTATTATATCTATGACCCATCCCAATTATGAAATTTCATAAAAAAATATAATAGTTCACTATTTATTTATTATCATTCGTCTACGCCCTCTGGAGCAGATTCTCAAGACCAGAATGAGAAAACAGTTTAAATCAATATATTACTGATCAAAAAATTGTTCGTACAACAGCTCCATTCAATAGATAAAAACAAGAGTTGGCAGAAAGAAATATATTTCATATAATATGATTTCGAATGTTATAAAAATTCAACTGTCTGCTAAAAAATTTTAACATTGTTTATAATATACTGAAAGGAGTTTCCTTCAAAGAAATAAAAGAAAATATAATGACAAATGAGCCAACTTCAGTGTGTAACATTCTATTTCATAATATATCAAAATAATTAGCACAACTTTTGATTGAATTATGTGGAACATATTAAACGAAAACTTTTTAATATCCGTTTGGAAAATCAGTTTACGGGAGATTTCGATGGAATTTGAATTAAAAGCATCTTGTATAGTATCATACAGTGATATGGATCATTTCCATTCCAGGATAACTGCAAAATGGAAAAAGCTAAAGTGTGGATACATTACAAGCCATCTCTATTTCAACACATAGGAACGCATTCGTCACTGAAAGGAAAAGTGCAGAAATTGAAGGTAAACTGAATTCTGGCATGTTTCCTATGATGGCATACTATCAAAGATAATATATTACTATCGATATTTTTATAACGCATTCGAATTTAGCGCTCAAATGACCCGGTTGCGATTTTACTAAATATAAACTATTGCAGCACAAACCACGCCCACCATAATACGTCATATCTCATACTGTGCTCCAACGCAAGAACTGAAGCTTTCTCGTTGTCAATCTCTTGTACGCAGTAAATTCATACACCCAAATGGTCTACTGGTTAGCGCTGTTGACTCTCAGTCTGAAGGTTCATGGTTCGAATCTCTGTGAACTCGAACTTTTTTTGCAACTTTTTTTTTTCACCAATGTTTTTTTACTTCATTCTGGTTTCCTTTTTTCATAAAATATTTGAAGTCAAATAGGTTAGTGCGTTTAGGATAAACAGTCTCATTTTATTCAATTTTGTTGAAGAACTCAACTTTTGAAATATATTATTAATCAATGTGTTTCTACACTCCATTCGGTTTTCCTTCCTCAAAAATATTGCAATCAGGGATAGGTTAGTTCGTTGAGGATAAATAGTCTCTGAGTTTTGCCTAAGTAAAGTACTTTGAAGATGAGATATAACGTGGTATGTGCTACTTTTTCAATCGATTTATTAATATGAATCAGCTACGTTGTGCTGTCAAAGATTAGATTTTGCAGGATTGTGCTGGGCTCGATTATATTTTGCAATGCCGTAGTAGGGGGCCTCTCTTGTGCTGCAATAGTTTATATTTAGTAAAATCGCGACCCGGTTGTCATCAGATGGTCGTTACTGATCTATCCATGGTCTGATGGTCTATCGATGTCTACGAACACTCATAAGCAGTGTTGTCAATCGGCGGGAAATTTCCCGCATTTCGGGAAATCCGACCGCATGCGGGATTTTTGGTGGGAAAAATCATTTTCCGGGATACATGCGGGAAATCGTTAATTTCCATGATAATTCAAAATGAAATTTTTGCGAATGCGCAAAACAGTATTGCTCATCTCTTACAATGAGTGATAAACCGCCATCTCATCAAAAATCTCAATTCTGTCTTCTTATGTCACGTGCCAATTGATGAATATTTGCTTGAAACCGTAGATTCACAGACGAAACAAAATATTTCACGCTCGTCTTCTTCTTCTCTTTGGGTCTATTGGATTTCTGTCTCCTTTTGGTAACAATTTCTCCAGATCAGTTAATTATTTTTTTCTACAAACGTCAAAAAATTACAAGGTTCGCGCATTGATGAAAAATTGCGAAGTGACACTTTTCTTCAGTTTCTTATGATGCCCAAAACAATGCGCGAAGTAAAACAGTGCGCGAAGTACCTACTTCGCGCATTGTTATGTAGAATATATGAGATATTTTTATATCAACTTAATGGTCCTCAATCGAACGAACACCCACGAAATCATTTATTACTGAATGTTCAACAATAAATTTGTTTTATCTCTTGAAGCGCACGAAAGTAAATTCCTATTATGTTCGTGGAACATCGTGCGTATCTAAGGAGGATAGGGTGAGGCCTTTTATGCCAGTTCAACACTATTTTTTATATCAAGCTAAGCATATTTTTACTTTACAACTATATTTTTTGAAATTTGTAGAAAAAATGTTGTTTGCATCTCGAGCGCGATATACTTTGGTCATCTCGACTATTCTTTTAACTCGGCTACGCCTCGTTAAAAAAATCAGATCTCGATCACCAAAGTAGCATTTCGCGCTCTAGATACAAAAATAAAAATTTTTCAAGAATAAATACTTGGTTATGTAATAATATTATCACACAAGAATGTCCTAGGTACGTCCTTTTTTTGTCCCGCGGTACAAGGACATGATTGGGGCATCCAGGGGATGTCGCACAGTGGTTGTCCAGTGGACATCTCGCCCGGTACATCCCTAGGTTATCCTATTCGTGTCCCTGGAATATCTGATATCCATTCACATCAGAGTCATTGAATTTCATCAAAGTATTGAGTTGCATTTTTTTGAAAATGTTCGTTTTTCTTCCGGGAAATAATCGTAATGAAAATAAAGAATAAAGTTTCAGAACTTCTTGAGAAATTACCGTTTTTCGCAAACAGAAATCGTACATGCATAATGCCCCTCATTTTTAAACACCCAAGAATGATATGATAATTATACCCAAATCTTAACAAAGTTGTATTTATTCAGGTTTCTGTAGTTGAGTCCTGTTTATAAATCTATTGAGTACATAAATCTTCAGGGAGCTCAATAGCCAATGGAGTAAGATGCGTGCCTGATAGGCCAAAGCCGCCAAAGGTCCCGGGTTCAATCCGTACTCGACCTACATTTTTTTCTTTTGTCGAAGGGATGTCCCTGGGATATCCTTGGGACGTCCTAGGGATATCCTTTCTTCGTACTTGGTACATCCCAGGGACGTACCAGAAGGACATCTCTAAGATGCCTCTTTTTGTGGAAAGCGGATGTCCCTGGGACGTCCCTAGTATGTACCATGTCCCGACACAGGATATCCCAGGGACGTCCTCGTAGAAAATGAAGGACGTCCCTGGGACGTACTCGTGTTGTTAGGGTTTCGTCAAAATTGTTCATTGGAGTAGCCCCATAAGTCACCTGTCGCCAAGTTCTATTTGTGGTCGCCAAAATGGGTTCAGAGATAGCCCAATTGGCGAGAAATCGCCCATACTGGCAACACTAAGTCCGTCACCAATGTCACCATCATGCTCAGTTTCTTCACTCTGAATTGAATTCGTAATTATCACGCCTGATTGACTTGGGAAAGATGGTTAAGGAGTCTGCGCAGTGCTTATATCGTGAGCAGGTTATTGTCTCACCTCGTGTATTCCACACTGAGCGACATTTCAAAGATGAATGGGACTCCATTGTTAATGGTTCACATGAATTCATAAGTGAGAAATAAAAACTAACATAAGGTAGGTACTATAAGAGCTGTATACTGCTTGCTATAGATCTTTCAACATGTGCTGATATCATTAACATGAAGGAAGACAAATAAAGGCACGAAGACGACTAAGCCTTGTTGAACTTGGATTGTGTCATTTATTTCGACTATTTGTTGTACTATTTCGAGAGGTGTTACCTCTTGATGGAATAACTTTTCTAGGAGAAGGTTTGATAAGAAAACATCGCATAATGATATTTCCTGCGTATTTGAACGTAATATGAAAGCTAATTTCGAGACTAATATTTTTATATGTATAACCACTATTTTATCATTCGAAATGTAAACATAGTGAAAAATAACCATTCCTCTATTCTACAGGATAAGCAGTTTGGCAAGATCGCTCTTTTTTTCCCGCACGTTAACCCAAAAGCTGAAGTCATCTCCGATATCAAACACTACAAACAGTACACTCTGAGGCGTGCCTACCTGGGAGAGACCTTCTTTTGGGGGCTACTGCCCCAACCAGGCGATCAGCTGACTTTCAAGTTCAAAACTTCCATCAACATCAAAAGGTAAAATTCCCCATTTCGTTCATTGAGTATGAATGAATAATTAATGAATGCATGAATGAAATCTACTATAGATTCAAAATCATCCAGTGGGAAAGTGGTTTGGTCGAATAAAAGCTTAATTCTTGAATGATAATTATTTACTTATACATTTCTTACTTAATAACCATAGTAAATAATGCAACATACCTACTATTTATATAGGGTTATTCGACACAAAGCATTGTGGCTATATAAAGCATTTGATTTTTTGAAAGTTTTTTATTTACGGTTGAATAGAGACCTATCAGCGCTACATTTCAAAAATATCTTCATCTTTTTTTTATTGCTTGGTGTGGACAAAAGGCAATCCCGATAATCAACTTACCTACAGCCACTATAGAAATTAGGGAGTAAGTAGCTTTTTACGCATAGTAAGCACATCGCACAGTTTTCGTTTAGTCAGTATAGGTATGTCATGATCGCGTAATCGCTGTCAACAGCGAATTACATAACTGTCAAGAATTATAATTCAGACTGTTTGTCCAAACTGTTTTGATGTACTATATGGCAGGAGGTAAAGTATAGAACGTAATACGTTTTATTAAGAATGAAGCACGTGCGTAACTTTTCCATGTGTGCGTAATATGCTTCTTACAACACATATTACGTAATATACTATAAATACAAAAAGCTCGAGTTATTTCCACATAATGTTCATAAAATGAACAACAGTGGTAGATTTCGTATGGGAATTTCAGTTTGAAGTGTTTCTTTCCTTTTCTACTCAGATGGCACTGTTTTCATATTGTCTATGAAGGAAGCCTCTTGGGGAATATGATGCCGAGTTGATTTTGTTTGGGTAGGCTACGCTTAGTCGACGGTCTTAGGACTGCTAGATGGAGACTGCCCTGCACTAATGAGAGTCAAAGAGCTCGAAACCGGTCTGTAGGTGTCAAGCGTGGCCTGGCTAAATCGAAATCAATAGGCATTCAGGAAAGAATCACTTGTATCAGTATTCGTTTATACAAGTCGATGCATAGATTTTGGGAGGATGTAATTCAATGTTCTGCGTGGCATTAGCCAGGAAATTGGTTGTTTTTCTACCGAAATCTACCATTGTTGCTCATTTCATGAACATTGTGTGGAAATGACTTCGAGCTTTTTGTATTTATTTAACTCCGATAATGTGTCTTGACCAATATTTTATCCTTTCAAAATTTTTGTGATTTCGCCAGTGTAAAAAATAGTATATTATACACCTCAGGACAGAATGCTATTTTTCCCTCGGTGCTTTCTTCTTGCATTCCTGTCCCTTGATGTATAATGTACTATTTTAACACACCTTCACCTCAACCACACCTGATTACTTGGATCTGCTATTCACATAATTTCATTTGAATTTTCACTTCTTGCTTTCTTTTCATATCAATCATAGGTAATCACATAGTAATGGTCACTCAGGTATATCCCAGTATTGAATAACTGCATTTTCTATAGAAACTTATTAGATTTCTTTTATCTGCGATCTAGAGACATTATACGAAATTACTATTATTATAACGTAATGTGGTTATTCACTCTGCAGCTCCAGTGGAATTCGCCCATGTAATGGCCTTGCTTTGGCGATTGATTGTGCAATGAGAAAAACGCCGTTTACTTCTGATGCAATTTTTTTTTTTCAGTTTGAGGATCAAGCTACTCAAATTTTGTTCAGGCATTCAGCATACAGGGTGTTGACATGAAAAATAAAACTTGAGTCTACTTCTGATGTTGAACTATAAGAGAACTAAATTATGTTTCAAGGACACTTATTTCAGGAGTCCTTACTGGTACAAAATTTTCTAGAAACTGGTCTTCTTTTTCGTCATCTTCTTTTTTGCAATATATCTGAATATTCTTTTTGAGATCTTCGTTTCTGATATCCACCTTTTCGATTTATTTTTGAAAAAGGTATCGAAAACTCATAATGAGAGAAAATCTCGTTGTTTTTAATGTTTTGTATGACACTCCGATATGAGATTGTTACTCCCTATGTATTTTTGATAAAAAACAACAGATATAGATAACTTCATTTTTTCAAAATTGAAAAATCGCTTTCCCTCTATATTAAACTATCACTTTAGAATGCGAAAATTACGTTACCGTTCTTAGATTTACTTGATGTAATGAAAAGTGACGAATAAAACACGAATTTGATGATTTCAGAAAGGAAACTAACATACTCATCAGATAACTACACAACTGTTTTAAATACAAAATGGCCAGTTCAAATTTTCTCGTACATACACAAGCGTCATTCCCTTTGAACACAGAAAAGATCAAAAAAATTAGGAAGTGACCAATGGTTTATAATATCAAGATAATAGATTCCTACTTCCTAAAAATATAATACCATAATGTTCTACCTACCAGAGCTATTGACCTCTCCAATATTTGCAGTCGATTTGAATTCAGTATTATTACGAGGAAGAAAATGGAAAAATGACACCAATCATGTTAATTCGAAATGAGGAGAGTTTGCATATGGACGGATGTTCGAAAGCACATGGGAAACAATAGTATGGAGTTAGTTTTCCGGCAGAAATATTCCCAATATGATTTCATCAAAAATCTACCCGTTTTCATTTCAATACGCACGGATTTATCCAAAAGGATCATAATCGTTAATGTTGAATATTTTCTCATGAAACTTGGTACAGATCTATTTCAGTATTTCAGAGGACGCCGATTCTAGTGGCTTAAGCGGTTTTTTTCAAAAAATATTGCTAATGGGGTTTCTGGATTTTCCCAGCCTCTGAATGTGATCTAGTAGGCCTTGAATTTGAAAAAAAGGGGACACCGATCAGCTCCAGAATACACCTTTCCTCTCTCTATATTTCAAAATAAGAATCGTGAAAATCGCTCAATGATTAGAAAAAGTATGAGGGTGACCCGCTTTCAAATTCATATCAGTCTGGGCGAAAACTTGAAAATTTACACAAGTCACGACTTTACGAAATTGGTGGTAATGATTGATGTGGAAAAATATATACAGGTCAAACTAGACTATCCACAAAAGCAATGCCCAAAGAACACCTCATGAACACATACATCAATAACTTCAAATTGATCAAACAAGTTGATAAATTATCATCGCGCGAGTTGAAAGAACCCTTCTTTGTTCTCAGGTTCTACTTCAGGAGTGGTAATGCAGAACATCCATCAGATAAATTCTACAACACCACCGTAGAAGTGCTGCCAGAGGCGGGAATCGGCCAAAGCAACAATTCTCCGAACATGACAAGTGATGGCTATATCATCGTGGGTGAGTCACGTTTCCCAATCGGATTGATAAAAAAAGACCTAAATACTTCAGTCATTTATGAACAAAAAAAAGGTGGCAACCTCGGAATATTAGATAATGAGCCGGAATAGTAATTTTTCCACCTACCATCGTTTACTCCTTTTCGAGGCGTAAAGTGAGATTTTACTACCAATGTAGTTTTCGTCATTTTATAAACCACTGGTCGAAAAAGACATAGCCACCTCTGTTATAATTAACCTTAATTTACTGTGCTGATGAGAGATTCGCATTAATGCATGGTACTCGGATCTAGTAGGTATATATCAATAACGACTTATTGTTATATGCCGTCCTAGTGACTAGATTTAAAGGACCCCGCACGAAAACACGGGAAATTGACTCTCTGTCAAATTGGCTGAAAATTTACTATGTTGTTGTGGGATGGCTCATTGAAAAAATATGTGAGTTTGAAAAGTTTTGTATGTTTAGTTTCTGAGATATAAGCCGACAAAGTTCGTAATAACGTCGTATCGGAGTACGATTGACAAAGAAAGAAACTGTTTTTTTAGTATAAATAAGACAAAATAAGCTAGAAAATGTATTGATCGGAACTCATAAACACGTCTAGTTATAATCACATAAATTATAGTAATCAGGGTGTATACGAGGCAGGGTCAAAAAAATCATTTTTCTGAAAAAAAATTCGAGCACTATTCCAAAACCAACAAGCTACATTCTGGTGGGACATCATAGTATTAGTCTATTATAGACTTCGAAAACGTATTTTGATTCTTTATAACTATCTCTGTTCGAAATATGAATTTTTAGAATTTTGTGTTATACCCCTTTTTGAAAACAATTGACATCTTGTTTTCACAAAGAAAGGGATTGATTGATACTGTTGATCGAATGAAAGCTGAGGTAACTCACTAGCGAATTTAGTTGTTCATTATTGCCTTTCATTAAGATACAGGATGTGTTAGATTTTGTTGAAGATTATTTAACATGTTTCAATTGAATATCTCGAAAACAGTTCCGTTAATTTGGATCTCATTTTACTCACACTATTCTGAATAAGTTGACTATCATATGCAAAAAGTTTTTCAATTTTTTATGTTTCGTTTCTGAGATTATTTTTGACAGTGAATCCAAACTGGAAGAATCAAAAATCCCTTGGCTGGTACAAAAATATGCCAATTGTAGTACACGAAATTAGCAAATGGACCAAAAATAAGCAGAATTAGCCGGTTAGACATCACAAATGAAAAAAATTCAAATCATTCTCATCGGGCTACTGCCGTTTCACAATTGGCAAAAGCAGGAGTATCGGAACAAGAACTGATTAAAATTACAGATCGTGGTAGTAGTAATTCTATAAAACCGTATCTGCAATTGGATCAAGAGCATCACGAAAATATAATAAATCAGATGAGAACCAAACAGAGATACACTTCTGGATCCAGTAGTAACGTCGAAATGTCCAGCACTTCAGCAACCATCAATAGCCACGTGGACGTTTCCAGCGCTGAAAATAACACGAATAAAAAAATGCTGTTTATAATAATTGTAATTTTTACTGCACAAATATGTACTTGAATTAATAAATTGTGTCTATCGTTCAGAACTATACTCAAAAAATAATCGCATCGAATACAATTCGAACTTCAAAATCTTCAAGGTTATACATCTCAAACTTCCTGCATAATTACAAGAATTATCCGTTCGCTGCGCGGTCGGATTATTTGAACTGTCAAACTGACACTCTTTTGTAATTATGCAACAAGTTATCGATGTATAACCCGAATATTTTGAAGTACTTATAGTATTACTACTGAAAATATCGGTAAACTAATTGTAGACCCAAAAATAATCGACGATTGAAGATTGATCCGGAATGAACGTTGAAATATTTAATTTAATGAGCACAAGATATGGTATGGATATGCCGTCCTTCGGAGAGGACGTTAAGCCGGCGGTCCCGATGCCATGGATGTTGGACTCGTTGAAGATCCCTACCTCTGGTTGGAACACCAGAGGATTCAGCAAAATTTCCGGTTAGGGGTATAGTGTGCTCACCGGCATCGGTGATTAGCCTCAGTAGCAGAAAAAGGCCGACGTTAAATAAACGAATAAAAAAAAACCGACCGTTTTGTCGTAATTCCACTACATTATTTCGACGTGAGGGCGTTCACTGGGAATTATATACTCTTTAGTGTTTAGTATAATTTTTTCGCAATTTGCACTAGTGGACAGGGTTTTTCAGTTTTATGTCTACGTTGTACAGAATGGCGATCGATTAAGTCCAATTCGTTTTCATTTTTAAATGATGAAGAAAATGGCTAGACAACAGCTAACCAATAAAAACAATAGAAGAAGTAGACAATTTTGCTAGAGTTTCTGTGATCTCAGTAGGCTAAGAAATTGTTTTTGATGATTTTTATTTTGCTTGAAATAATAGATAATTTTGAGTAGTATATATTATGGGAAAACAGAATTCTCAAATTGTCCTAAAAATTCGAAAGTACAGGAGTGGGGTGGAACAAATTGTAACACACTGTATATCTTTATATGTATAATTTTTTTTTCATGTTCATAATATAGCTTTTCAAAACATCACAGTATGAATTCTCCAATTGGAAGATGGTAGTATACATACAGGGTATGTCACGACGAACTTACACTATCTTTATATCGAGAATCAGTCGGGAGAAATACATGAAAATCTGCATGTTTACATTTTAGAATACGCTCTCTTCATTTAGAATATTTTCAGCAATGCAGTGTTCCCGCTTCTATCAAAAAGTAGCAACAATTTTGTTATTTCAAATAGAACACCCTGTATTTTATCGCATTTTTAGGTTCTCCCTGAAGAGCTGATTTCATCGATGTATCACACTTGGGGTCTATCGAAGAATATTACAGAGATATAGGGTGTTGAAAATCGAGATTTTTCAACTTTAGGATTTTTTTTTGTCGAAACTATTCATTATCGGTGAAAACGGCTCACATGCCCCTATCTCAACTTTTGATTCACTATTTACTGATATTTAATCGGAACAGATACAGGGTGGTTCAAGATTCAGAATTCTGATCACCCTGTATCTGTTCCTATTAATTATCACTAAATAGTAAATCAGAAGTTGAGATAGGGACATGTGAGCCGTTTTGGCCGATAATGAATAGTCTCATCACCAACAAATCCTAATGTTGAAAAATCTCGATTTTCAACACCCTATATATCTGTAATCATTTCCGATAGATCCCAAGTGTGATGTATCGATGAAATCAGCTCTCCAGGGAGAATCTGAAAATGCAATAAAATACAGAGTATTCTTTTCGAAAGACCAAAGTTGTTGCTACTTTTTGATAGAAGCAGCAACACTGCATTTCTGAAAATAAACTGCTCCACATTTGAAGTGAGACAAGCGAACATTTTGTTTGTTTTCGAACCGTGATAACTTTGGATGAGATCAACCGATCTTTGATTAGTTTTGAGATTGTGATTGCCCAGTTGATTGGCTATAACATATTTTTTTCACGTTTCTCCACCATTTCGGAATTATGACCTACAGGATGATATCTGAAAGTGTGATACTTTCCGAAAAGTTTGAGGTTGCCCCGTTAGCAGGATAATTTTTTTAAAATTTTTCTGACGGCAAAAACATGAAGCCTAATGTGTTTCCTCGAAATGGTTTCGGATTCATCAAGATCCATACAGGATGTTTTGAGATATGCAATTTTGAACAACATAATGGCTATTCGAATTTTTTGAATACCTGAAATTCATTGGTTAACCCCTCGGTATGATATGTTGTCTGGGAAATAATCAGAAATTGTCAAACATTAGATTATTGTAATGAATATGCCACGACTAACTAATGAACAATTACAAATGGTTCTCAGAATGAGAGATGGTGGTTTGAATGTTGAAGACATTGGACAGTATTTCGATTCATCAAGAGCTTTAATATACAGGGCAATCCGTCGTCACGATCGAACAGGAGATCCTAATTATCGTCACGGAGGTGGACGACAACGGAAGACTTCAGATAGAAATGATAATTTCTTAGTTACTTCGGTACGTCGTCTTCGAACACAGACTGCTGGACAACTGAACTGTGCACTAAGAAATGCAACAGGAGTTGTTGTCTCAGATGAGACAATCAGAAGAAGGCTTCATGAGCGCAATCTGAGAGCGAGAAGGAGGGCATCTTGTACTTTGTTAAAGCTGAACCACAGGATAGCTCGAAGACTTTGGGCTCAGAACCATTTGAACTGGGGAATAGCTGATTGGAGGAGATGTTTATTCGTTGATGAGAGTAGGTGTAATATGTTCAGATCAGATGGAAGGATTTTAGTATGGCGAGAACGGGGTGAGAGGTTTCTGGAGGAAAACATGGAGGCGCGGGTGGCATTTGGGGGTGGGGGTGTTACGATATGGGGCGGTATCATGATGAATCATCGCACCACGTTGGTTATTTTGAGGGAAAGTATGAATGCTGTTCGATATCGTGACATGTGTATAAGAGATGTTGTTATACCAGTTGCTCAAAACTTTGGAGACAATTTCGTACTGGTCGATGATAATGCACGACCACATCGTGCGAGAATTGTAACCGAAGTTCTGAGACAACATAATATTGGAAGAATGGAATGGCCACCCGTATCTCCAGACATGTGGAATAATGAATATTCAACAACTGGAAGATGCGATAGTGGAAGAATGGACAGCTATTCCCCAAGATTTCATTGATGGCTTGATAACAAGTATGCCGAGAAGAGTTAGGGCTCTCGCAGCGGCCAGGGGTGGTGTAACAAAATATTGATAATCGACCACATCTGCCGTTGTTAATTCTTCTTTATTAAAAAAATATTGTGTTACGTATTATCTGTATTCTCTTCGTGGTATATGTTCATCAATTCTCATTCTCTATATCCACTGAAAAAAAAAACATCCTAGCTTTGACAATTTTATTCATAAAATAACCACACTCCACATTCACTTTATTCCTCCCTGCGAA